TCATTTTAAACAAACTCACCAGCCCAATTAACATCTTGTGCCGGTGGTATTTGAGTAAAATAAAATAGAAATGCCATTAAATCATTTCCATATTTACAACAGTATGTGGCAAAGTTTCCTATCGTCCGGCGCGTACCAACTAACACTTTTAGTTCAGCGATAAATCCAGGCAACATAATCCATTTGGAATAGGAAACCACTAAGAACGATATTTGCAGGCGAGCAGCCGCTGCAAGCGTCGCGCGCTCTCCGCAAATAACAACCGTTTAAAAGATTGAGCGCGCAATGTCGACTCAAATGATTCACATAATGGTGTTTGCAGAACGGAGAGGCTTTAATAAATTTTAATATATATCTTACCAGTATTTAGATATCTGTGTACTTACCTGCAAGAGAAAAATAAAAAAAATAAGCCACGGTTAGCGAAAATATATAAAATAAACAAGCAAATAAAAAAACTTGTACACAGAATTCCAACCAAAAAACAGAAAATAAACATTGAAATATTAAACTGTAGGCAAACTGTTTTAATCATTATGAACAAAATGTATAATGCATATTTAAAAGAACTAAAAAATTATTCACAAGGGTATTTACTTTCAGGAAATTGAATCTGCAAGTTGGAGACCAATATCTGTGTATCCAGCGTCAGACAAGTGGCTGGAATGTTACTGACTGTAACTCTATTATGTTTTTATAAATCAAGGAACATAAAACAAGGGCATTATAAGTAGTTACCTTCACCCTACTGGCCATGGAAATCCCATTACTCTTCATACCACAACGACAACACAATGCAATATTCATCCAACACGCCAGTTGTTAGTACAAAATAACCCTTTACATTTACATATCAATTATCGCATTTATAAAGTTATCAAAGCCCCTCTCACCAATAGCCGGTGCATGAATGGCCGTGCGTGCGTAGTGGGGGGCGTGCACCGTAAACCCATGTAGTTGGCACAATATTAGCATACCATAATGAGTGGACATAAGAGTGCATGCGATTAGGGGGCGATCGCTCATGACGTATTCATGAGCGCGAGGTGTACCGCGACAGGTACACTTGTATATTGTTGTAACTTTTTTATTCGATTAAAAATATCTTTTTTGAATTTTATTGGCTGAATATTAAACTTTTTACCATGTTTTAAAAGAGTTTGAACAAAGTATTTTTCAGCAACTTCACATAGTCTCAGATAACAATGTGGAATGACTTCAACGTAAAATGAACTTATTATGTGTCGTAGAATGTACTACAGAACAGTCGCCGAATAATACATGAACGCGAGACGCACAATATGCAGCAAATTGAGATTGTCTCAGATACAATAGAAATACACCGAACTTTATTGTTTACATGTGTCGACTATGATAACTTAGATAATCGAATAGGAATTCGTACCGCGTTAGAAACACGGCTTTGTGTTAGGTTATGATTATTTTGAGGATGTAGTTACCTCTTCTAATATTATATACCAGACCAGCTGACAGTAAGCATACATGAAGTGCATCCGATGAAAAAAATGATATTGCGCAAATATCTATAAATACATCCACATACAGCAGACATCGTTGCTTCTGTATTTACCTGTTAAATATTGCATCCACTAACACAGAACCTGACCTAACTGCTCAAAAGAAGTTTATATCACGGAAGTAGTACAAAGGAGTAACCGAAATTAATGACTAAACTTTTTTATTTAGCCGACGATGGCCAGTTGCAATTTAAATGTATTACTTGATCCCTTTAATTCCTATACATATACGTAATTAAAAGTAAATTATCATCAATATTTAAACCGGCAATGTCAACATTTTTGGTGCAAATAGTATAAGTCTAATTCGTCTGTGACGCTAAGGTTTGCACAAATAACTTCAAGAAAAGTTCTTGAGTGTTAAGTCCTTTGCAGTGCAGTTGAGCAGCGGGGCTACGTTGCCCAAGTGCTCGACTACAAGTAGTGAGCGGCCGTCTCGAGTGGCGTCCCTTGGTCTCACATAAAAAACATCTGCCGCTGACGTGACACCCATTCGTGTTCCGCTGAGTACCGTAAGAAGGGACGACATTTAATAATACAGTCTGTACATTGGCAGCAGCAAGTGATACAGAGCGAGGCAAATCCTTTCCTTTTACTAATATTTAAATTGATACCATACATGACCTATCACGCTCCTTCGTTGGTTTCCTCTTTAGTACTTTTAATTCGCGGCTATACATTTCTTTACAAACTTTTTCAATATCAGATTCTTTAATCGTATTTATTCAAATTGTATGTTGATATCATGGCATACCGCGGACGAGCTGCAATTTTATCATTACCAACTTCATAAATAACTTTTTTTTTTTAATTCAAACCATTATGCGCATTTGTATAAAGGCTGACTTAATACACATGACATTCTCTACTAGTCATCCTTTCGACGATGTCGTCATGTTATAAGGTTGAAATTTTGATTCAACTATTTGATTATATATCATATGCACCATTAGGAATACACACTAATAGGTACATATTTACAATTATATATCATCAACAGCCTTTAACAGTCCACTCCTGGACATAGGCCTCTCCTTAGAAAGGAGGTTTTGGCCTACTATACCACGCTGGCCAGACGGGTTGGTATAGGGTTTGTTTCAAGTTTTCCTTCTCTTTGCAATGCTATTGTCCTGCGTAGTTTTCTCCCTTAGACGTCTCTTACGGCACCCACGGGATGAACAGGGGTGGTGACACATCGTATTCTTAATCCGTCACCACACGGACTTCGGACGGACGGACGGACAATTATATATATAAACAACAAAAATATAAATCGTCTCGATATAACTGATTTCACAATTTATACCGATTTAAATGTTAAGGTTTAAATGACCAATGTTTAAACAACAACAACTGTAGAACAACAACACAACAAATTAGTAATTACGCAAACATTCATTTCTCAGATCTGTCGGACAAATAAAATGCGAACACATTCGCAACACACTAGCGTATATTACAAAATGCATGAAATAAAACTTCTACGAGTTCCGACTGTACTGTTGTACGCTCCGCGGCACATTTCTGACACGCAAACTCACAGTTATATACGCGGCTTACAGCCTACGTTTACCGCTTCTACTGTCAAGGATACAAGGCTCATAATTATTGATATAAAGTTAATGCTAAAATAAACTGCCGTGTGTATCCCCGTCGCAATGGTGACTCGTTCATGTCTAAGGGATCTATTGTTATGTATCTTTTTATTTGTGTCATTTCATTGAAACTTGAGTTATAGGAAAAAAAGTAATGGCCAAATTGATAAATATAGTAAAGTTAAACGTTCGCTTTTATAACTATGACTGGTACTCACAGAGGAGAACAAATGCGAGTTAAATTTAAGTACAGGAGAAATAGATTGTGACATTGTCAATAAAACAATGTATTAAAAAAAAAATCTGATCTAAAAATTGTCTAGATACATTAGGCATTCCGTCATATAGATAGATTCAGACTGTATGGACTTATGTATTTGTTGATGCTGTTTTTAGGAAACATGAAGACATAAAACCCTAATTTTTATTTACCAACCGAAGCGGATATTGTTTAACCAACAAACCATCAAAGACGCCCGTCTTTGTTGCCGCAGGCCAAGTTTAACTAAGGAATGAAATCCCTGGTAAATGATCATGAAGTGATTCTAATATTATATTATTTACAAAACGATTATATATTTTAATCAACCACTTCAACGAAACATTGCTTGCATGAATTCTTTTTTCCTACCTTTGCCATAAATTAATTTCCTATTGCTTCAAACATAAGTTTATAAGTAATTTTAATCATAATATTACAAAACAGTTTAATATAACAAAATATTTTGTTGTAAATATTAGACAAAAGAAACACCGCTTGCGCTTTTCAAATACATTCGCCAGACTTTTGTGTCAATTTTTGACGTGACAACGTCTTATAATTCGATGGAGCCGGCTGCACGAAAAAACATGACTCATGCGGCGTTACCTCGCTCTGAGGCGTTCCATTTAAGGCGTGAAGTGCAAGCGAGAGCGCGGAACGAGTGACAAAGAGGCACAATCGGCCTCCGCGTTCGGCAGCGTTCGACATCTGTCTCTCTCAAGTAGGAACTTGAGTGAGCGATGCGTCCACGTGGACAGCTACTAATCGTATACAATAATACATTTTTGAAAAATGCAACCATTCCATCAGTATTTTCTTATGACGTTGTCACGTTCAACTATCGTCAGTAAACCAACTTTACAGACAACCAATTTTTTTATAAGAATGTGAGCTTCACGCGATTCTCAACTATTTGTTAAATGAACAAACCAAAAATAGCTACGAAGCTATTTTTGGTTTGTTCGTTTTGCAAATAGTTGTTAGCTTTTCCTACGAACGAACACAGACAAAAAGCTAACAATGCACGTTTTTTTATATCTCTATACCTAGGTGTATTTAAAATTAAATTTTTCGGTCAATAACACTCTTTATTACCTCGTGCATTTACTTTATTTACTTTTTGCATATCGTCCTTAAACGTTTAACCATCGTCCCTTAACATGGCCGTCGGGTACAACGGCCGCGCACCATTAAATATCACGTAGATAAGTCGTCGGTTGAATTCTAATAGCATCAAATATTCGGTAAGTAATTAATTATAATTCGTAAGTAATAATTAAAGGACGCCTCGGTGCGAAGATCACGCGCAAAACAACGGTTTTATTAAGAGCTATTAGTGAGCGCGCTGCCTGCACTGACACCCCTCGGAGCGCCAGGAACGAAACGAGCCTGAAAAACCTATGAATCTCATTAGTGTCTCAGCTCGTGACAAAGCGTCCGACTTTAGTTTACGACTTTTTAAAAGTAGGTGTCGCAACGTGGCGCCAGCTCGTCAGTTGTATGTCTAGTATTGCGTATATCGCAGTGAGGTACAAATGAGTCGGTGGCGTCGGGTGATGAAGGCGGCCGGTCCGCTGGGTGCGCGCCGCACAAAGCCGCTGCCAACTATTGTTTGCTATTCCACTTTTTCGTGTTCTCGTCGACGTCAGATAAGTAGGGCGCGTCTCTTTTAGCCGGCCTAGTTCCTCGGCTGAAAGCGAAGCCTTCGTCGCGTGATATTCCAACAAAATATTTATTTGAAGACTCGGTGACGATGTCGGCGTTATTCAGAGCGGGTAGTGCGCCAAATTCCAACCGAACTGAACGTTAGGAGCGAACTCGCTAATAAAAGGGAAATTTACACGCTTTGTGAGAATATTTAACACCGCCATAAGTTACGCGACGACGCGGCGCACACAATAAGTGGAAACGGAATTTACTTGTATGAACTGAAAATAATCTTTATGATAGCCAATATTATTGTTTATAGCTAGTAATTACAAAGCTTTCCAATCATGTATCGGGACAGTACAGATCGCACCGAATCGCACAGAAATAATATTTTGATTGTATTTTTGGCCGACTCCCTTGGGTAAAAACTTTGTTATAGGTTACACATAAAAGTATATATAGACATACGTACTAAACATACGTACACTTTTAGCTTAGTACACATTAGCTTGAATTCAAAAATACTGTCAGGTATTTATGCGTTTGTGTCCGCTGACTCTTGTGTTTGGTGTGTTATCGGCTCTGTTTGTAGTGGAAATGAGCTCACGTCTCGGCATGCAGATGCCGCCTATTATTCTACCTACTGTCTCTGAACAAGTACAACAATATTCATCTCGCCTATTGAATAATCTGTCAACAGATTACATAGAGGTGAAGTAAATAATGCTGTGACGTGAATATTGAAACAAAAAACTTGTTCAAAAAAAACCTTTTGGCCTATGAAGTCAACATTAAAAGGTGATGAAATGGAATCTTTAAACTACTGCGTTTACAGTTCATTACTCCTTGTTCCATCACAGTAGTAAAACATAAACCGGTTTAGGGTAATAACAGCAATATTTATAGATAATTTACAAATGTCTCCGTGTCTTGAGAAAACAAATAATACAGCAGTTATTTTATAATCGATGAATAAACGCGATGGGGAACATGAAAGCAGCGCGACTAAGGATCCCTCAAACCGTACACTAAAGCCAACGGTGCTGTGGTATTTTCGCTTTAAAGGCAGAAAGCGCCTAGCTTCTTACGACCAGGACCGTGTACATTACTAATAACTTTACCTACTCGTAAAAGCCGTATAACAGACTAGGCTAAGAAGTATCAAGAATGCACATATTTAGTGCATCTAGGCGGTTGGGTGTGGTGCTTGCGCCCGAACTAGATATTTAATATTGAATATAAGGCGCCTCGCCTCTACAAGAGTAATGGCGTGTGTGTAATGTTTAAAGAAGCAAGTTGAACGTGAGATGGAGCTTTTTAATAACAGGTTTTCATCAAACAAACGCAGGTATTTTTGCTATAAGTATTATCACTAGTGCTATTAAAAATGTGTAAGACATGCTACAAACAACATAGATGAATATTTGTAAAACAGTAGGTCACGCCGAAGCTCTTTTTAATCGTCAATACGTTATTTCTTCAACTTGCCAACTGAGTAATTACGATGCGTAAGCTGCCTAAAAATGTTACTTTTTTCTTTAAAAAGACAACTCCCGCATTAGGAATATATCCTGTGTCGCGGGGGACTTTACAATCATACATGAAACGGACACAAAGAACACCCAGACTCAGAACAACAATTTGTGGATCACACAAAGTGTCGTCCCATGTGGGATTTGAACCCACATCACTCGGCGTAGTACGAAGCATCGTGGCGACCACTACGCCATACATACAAATGTAACATTTCAGCATCAAATTTTATTGTACACAGCTGTTCAAATTACTGATTGATATCGTCAAAGGGTTCTATAGACCTAAGAATGATGTTGTGCCAAATAACGTAGTTTCGTATCAGAGAAAATAGACGAATGTCTTTGAGGAGCCCTAGTTGAAGTACAAATACCACAGATGGTATTAGGGTTAGCTAGATCTTTCTTTAACACAAATATTTGCTTCATAAACAGTAGGAATAAACGGGCCGCCACGTTGATATATATTTTTTTAAGTTATAAAATATAAAAATATTGAATATTACTTACGGGTGGTAAAAAGTTAACTATTAAAATTGTACTCTACAAATAGTGCAGTGTGTGTTATTAAGTGCGTTAATCAGTGCGTGCCTCAGGTTAGTTCTATAGTTCAAAAGTTACGCGCTAACACAATAACGTGCCAAAGTTTACAAAATAAATAAAACTAGTCAAACCTGTGAGTAATCTACTGAGCGTTATAAGTTACTAAGGTTAGGTCTAACCTAGACAGCGTTCGAATCATCCTCAACAGTCTTTAATAGTCCACTGCTGGACGTAGACCTATTCGAATACCAACACAAAACAAACAGGCGTCAGCGCACCATCAGTTCACAGTTCGCGCACCACGCGATTGGACTTTTACGTTTTAGTCCGTTTTTATTTCTATTAACCGATATATACTATATTGATTTAAAAATCAATACCTATCGTATTCGATACAATCCACATTCATAGCATATCTTATGAGGTTTCGTAAATTTACTCAATAATGAAATAATAATAATAATATTCTACTACATTCACACAACGCCATCTAGTCCCAGTTTTTGTTTGTAAACGTATACATATTATACATAGAAACATCCAGACCAAATCAAACATTAAATGTTCATGCACACAAATGTTTGACTTGAGCGGGGATCGAACCCGCGACCTTCGGCGAAACGGTCCGTTACACAAACCACTACGCCATCCGGTCGTCATATTCATAAATACTACGGTCCGACTACACATCCGACCGTCGAAATAATACTTTAATAATGAAAGAACAGACATTTCATTACATGAAAAACAACGTACAAAACGGGATTTCAAAGTCTATTTAGGATATTTGTTCATTTGAAATTATGATTTCATTAAGAAATTACACATTTTTTGTGTCAAATTCGTCAAAAATAGTCTTCCACTAATTCAATTCTCGTATTCCTATTTCCTTATTTTAATGTTTGTTAGTTATCGTTAATAGGTGCAAAATTTTAGTCATAATTACATGAGTGTTGAATTTCAAACATTGTATATACCTAAGTGTTCGTAGTCTCATCGGTGTTTAAATAATCAAGACAATTAACTACTGTTAGTGAATGAAACAAGCTGTTAGTGTTGTACCAAACGTTTATTGCACAAACATATTTACAAGACCTTTAATCTACCCGTCACGTGGAGAACAAATGTCGGGATAAGGGAAGCGAGTCGCAGACAATACGGAAGCTCGTAGCGGCCTCGCAGGCTAAGCCAAGAACTGTCTCAAATAAATCGTCGTACCCTTGAAACTCTTTGAGGGTTTGAGTTTTCAGACGATAATTTGCAGTAGTTTGTTTGTCGTTCGATGCGTATTATCGAATAAACGGCCGACACGAGTTCTACATCACGTGACCCCCACACCCACAAGCAAGCCCAGCACCCGCCACTCACCGCTGTTGGTGCTGTCCGCGGAGCTGTTGCGCGACTCGCCGGACGCGTCGCTGGCCACGGACGAGTCGCGCGCGTGTCCGAGCGCGCGGAGCTGCGCCCACAGCTCGCGCAGGCGCAGCGCCTTGTCGCGCACGTCGCCCGACACCGACTGCTTGGCGCCGAGGCACTCGCGCTCCATGTTATTGTAGTTCTCTAGCACTTCGCGAACTTCATTTTCACGATCTTTCACCGTTGTCTATTAAAAAAAAAAAAACATTTTAATCAGAACGTTTTGCTGAACCTGCTGACGCACGAGCGTCGCAACGTGGAACAATCTGTCAGCTAAGGTAAAGGCTGTTAAATAGTTTGCCGATCAATACTTACAGCTATTTCTTGAACAGCGGCGTCTCTCTGGTCGGGCGGCAGCCGCCCGGCCGAGTCCAGGCGGCGCGCCGCCTCGCCGGCCCACGCCAGCGCCGCGTCGAGCCGCGCGCTCGACTTGCTGAGCGCCGACAGCTTGCTGTTGATGTACTCGCGGTGAGCCGACAGGCTCGCTTGCGCCTACACAATACGATACATGTCATTACACTACACGGCCACTGATTCATTCTATATACTGGAAATATAAACTTTTGGTAGCGGCTGCGCAATGTAGATTCTAACGATCAGATCAGACATCTCTCAAAAAAATTACTACCTTCTTCCTACTTCAGCTTTCTAACCTAACTAAATTTTGCCTACATATTGTATGTAAGATACTCGGATCTTAACGACCGGTGGATTCTAACAAAAAACTCATATTCGCGTTTATAATATTAATTACGATTATAATCTATGCTTAAATTTGTGGCAAAATAACGCACAGCTTCCAAGAAAAATCGTGATATAGTAGAAATAAACTAGGTAGTTTAGAGCGATCTGCCAAATAAATAACGAGATACTGGTTGTTGGATGTGCTGGCGGTAGATTTATTTGTTTGTTTTTACTTATCTTACTTTTTAATTTATTATAAAGTAGCAACATTCAAGAACGTGGTGAAATCCCCTCTAACATTTCCGCCCGTCTTTGTTCTCGACGAATTACGGGTAGAATGATGTTTAACATTATACTCCTAATACCGTCTACAGTATTGTATTTCAAAGGAATAAATTCACACAATTGCAAATTAATAATCTCCTGAGTTCTCATGGATCGGATCAACTTAATCAGCGACGAGTAAGATTGCTCCGACTTCAAGCCAATAGACGATTAGAGTTACAGGTATGCAAACCTGCAGCCATATCCTTATCCTTTCCTTCACTTGACTGGAATTATATGTATATCATCTTTGGGAATATTGTGGTGATTCAAGACAAAAAAAGTTTCAAAACTTGCGGTTGTAGATCGGCACAGGCATATAATAGATTTCCTATAGGTATCATTTTTATGTTATTTATTTTCCTCAATATTTCAAAAAACTGAGATTGTTGCTATTGTGTATGTTGGTCTATGACTTTAGAGTCTACATAAAAGACGATTTCAAACAATATTAAACAATTTTACGAAATAAAGATATTTTGAGTTTGAGTTTGAAAATAGGCACAGTGGTGGAATGCTGATTATACAAGTGATGGGGATGGTCATGAGCAAGGAGCATTAAGTTTTTGCCATTGACGGATGTGGTACAATTTTACAGTAAATACTCTAGTGTTAAAAGCAATTGGCAACCTGTCGTGAGCAACGTAGTGCACACGTGTAGCCATGAGGGTGCCGGAGGCGACACGTGTCCGAACCATTAGTTCATGGCTAATCACTGACACGGGGCGTCGCACACACGCACCGTGCAGTTCACGATATACATATTATATAAAAAACAGACCTGTATGGTTGAGTGTGGAATAGTGTAGAAAACGAATATGCTTTGTTTTTTATTATTGATACACATGACATGATTTTTGTTTAAAAAATATTGTGTCAGGTGCTCTATCGCCTCACACAAAAGTGCATCTCAATTAGCGATAACAGCCGCAGACACGCGGGTGTGGCGCGGCCCGCCGCCGAGCGGTGTCAGTCTAGCCACGCACTTGGCTGCACTTGGCCCCGCTACCGCCACACGCGCGCCGCGCCTAGCGCGAGTGTACTACACGTGTGCGTGGTGCCAATCGCTCTAGCTATTACGTCACAACGTCAGTACAACTTGAAAGTTATTATGAACGTGATTTTATCCTTTTATGAGATGTCTTTCAACAAAACCAAATATTTTACATTTGTAGAACGAGTTCGTTCCCATTTAAACTCTTTCAGAATAAAAAAAGCTTTCGGATAAGTCGGACAATAATAAATGACAGTAATGGTAAATAACAGACACGGAGTTTGTGTCGGCGGCGCTGATGACACGCTACGCGTCACCACACTGCACCGTGTCAATGAACTGTTCGTGACATGAACACAATTACACAAGAAAGTCTATTTTTATTTTATACATCAACAGTTGTTGGCAAATCGCCAAGCGTGACCAAGGTCAATTCGACAACATGTTTAAATGTATTGTAGATACTTTCACATGTTGTAAGTTCTTTTCTGAGTACCTCAACAGTGAAACTGATAACGAATATCAACAAAATGGTCTAGTATCACAAATACATCGGCGTACATCCCATCCGACATACAAATATAAATATACAATAATCACATTTTGAATTCCCTCTTGTATTAAATAAAATTACGTATTCCTGTGCACAAAGGTATGTGAAGGGTATTGTGTCCAACACAAAAGGATCCTGCGGCGAGGCGAAACGATCGTGGCTGGGAGATCACGGCCAAACAGTTCATAAAGTTTTACATATATAATACTAATCAGCATGGGAATTTTCATTGGGCAACAACAGATTTAGTCTTTAGTTCAATGATTACATTAAAGTATGTTTTCGATATATATGTGGATAAACTTAATTGTATTTACAATTCAGTAACTTATTAGCCCCATCTCATAATTTATTCAAAATGTGCTTCGGTTACTGAGGCAGCAACGCGGCGACGTAACAGATAAGTGGCGGTCACGTGTCGCGACTCGCGGTCACACTTTATGACGCGCGCAGCGTGACGCGTCTGCGGCGAAGGGAACCACATTACGACATTGTTACTGGCGCTCATTTGTCTTACGATATTACAGTTACTTAGTTAATGAATTAACCTGTCGATAAAAAACTAAAAAAATATCTAATTTAAATATTATAAACGTTGCATAGGGTACAGAAATCTGTTTATACAAATGTACGATATCGGCCATCGAGTCAGCTGTAACGGTCACGGTTTATCACATAAAAGTGTCTTTTAAATATCATTTCAATATAATTATATACATATGTGTATTTAATTATATGAACATAAAAGCAGCGTTGCGTGCGTTTACACACTAAACACACCATATCGTCACTCAGTCCCGTCCAGACCAATATTCGCTTAACAGAACCAATTTGATCAAATTAGTTAAACCTATCTGCACCCAATAGCCTTCGACGTCTCTGCCGTAAGCCTCATCAACGTATTGATGTTCTGGTGTTAAGATTAAATGCAGTACAAAGTTGACGCACCTTTTCAAGCTCCGCCTGGAGCTGTGCAGTTTGTTCGCCCTTGGGCAGCTGCTTGTTCTTCCGTAGAACCTCCATGTCCTTGAGTTTATTGGCCAACTCCTCCTCGCGAGCCTGACAAAAGATAACATCAGTTCAAACACTTTACACAAAATATACTGGCAGATCAAACTAACTACATCATTTATTTGTTACAAGTCTAAGTCTGACTTACAAACATCAATGTTATCGATAAAAGCAGTCTTTTTGTCGGTGGATTTCGAATGCTAATGCTTCCCACGCGTATACAATGGCAAACCGTATACACTTTCGACCTTTCTGAATAAATAATATCGTTTAAGTACATATGTATTGTGCGTGTGGTGACGGATTTAGAATACGGAGTGTCACCACCCCTATTCATCGGGTGGGTGTCGGAACTCTGCAGAACAGCAGCACTACAAAGAGAAGGAAAACTTGAAACAAACCCTATACGAACCCGTCTGGCCAGCGTGGTATAGTAGGCCAAAACCAAATTTCTAAGGAGAGGCCTATGTCCAGCAGTGGACTATTAAAGGCTGATGATGATGATGACATATGTATTTAATAACGTTACCAGTAAGAACTATAAATATATACATATATTTTTAAGGTTTATCATCGTTCGGTACGATCAGGTGTGCGGGTGTAGTGTCTACTTAATAATCGACTAGGACAAGTTAAACGACACTGAAGCATGTATGTGTATGTGTGCCGGTGGTCCGCGGCGGGAGGAGTGCTCGAGGAGGTCGTTAAGGCACATTAGTGGCACGCATTACGCGTGTACCTCCACGCACGGGAAGCGATACCGCATCACACTACGTATTCACAGATCAATACCACGCAGATACACTTATGTACCTGTATTAGAGCCTCTCATAATACACATATAATATTTTAAGCTCAGATATCGGCATACGTGAGAGGCTTTGAGCAATACGATTCTATAATTGATTCAAATGATTTCCCACAATAAGAGACTATGGACCCCGTGTCAGTTGTTGAAGTGGTTAAAGAAACGCTCGCCAATAAGTAAATTATTGGCAAAACTAAAAAACCCATTGGGTACGTGAAAATTGTATCCTTAAATTCTCAAACTTATTTATATTTCATATATTTTTAGCATTTTTCGTTACAAATTACATTATATAAGTTATGTTTATTTTTTCTAAGAAGTTTATGAAACTTTATTTTGGTACCCCTCTCGATAGATGTGAAGAAAATTAAATTTTGAAAACATTTAATTTTTGGCGCCAAAAATTCGGCATTTTAATTTTTTATCATAGCATGGCATAGACGGATATAAACAATAAAACAGTTTTTTTAATTATTTGTTTATTTAGAACTGTTCGTTTAAAGTTTATAGTGTGGTTACAGATAGGGGTTACGTTCATCTATACTAATATTATAAAGCTGAAGAGTTTGTTTGTTTGTTTGTTTGTTTGTTTGTTTGAACGCGCTAATCTCAGGAACTACTGGTCCGATTTGAAAAATTCTTTCAGTTTTAGATAGCCCATTTATCGAGGAAGGCTATAGGCTATATATCATCACGCTAAGACCAATAGGAGCGGAGCACCAATGAAGAATGTTTCAAAAACGGAGAAAATTTATTACTATTGAGAGACGCAGACGAAGTTGCGCGGATCAGCTAGTGAGTTATATTTCAGACTGAGCAGAAAACCTACATAATTTTCGCAATAATGCCGAAATTCCGCGGGCGTCAATGCCATGCGAAAAACCGTAGCATTGCAAACAACCCTTGTGTAGTGGGTGGCCTGGAGCGTATGATGTACTAACATAAAATACGCTACACACACAATGTGCAATAAGGGCTGACACTGACATGCTATAGTTTACTGTAATGAAGCTATCAGCTAAAACAACAGCTCCTCTTTGGTCCGACAAACAATAGTTTTGTAATTGCGAACGTTTAACCAATTAAGACAGTGAACATTAACTCGCAGCAAAAATATAAAAAGGTAGGTTTAGTACATGACTACTTCTAGACCATTTGACTTCTTCGCACATACTTTTTGAGCGAAAAAACGATTTCGTTTATCGATAAATATCGATATAAAAAATAGACAATCGATAAAAAAATAAGATGTCCGTTTTTTCAGTCAAAAACCATAATGTGCATCGGTTAAGAACACTATGATGTGAGTCAATGCAATGTTGAAGATACGTCGTCTACGTGAGCAATCGATGTGTGTATAAAGGAGACAGGGTGACGCGTGTCTGCGGCAGTCGGCAGGACCGGGGACAGTTTCTGACGACATCAATTCACTTTACGACTGAGGCATCGACAAGCCACGTGCCGCCGGTGTTTCGCTCGAGTCTCATTGAACCGTTCGCAAGTCTCAGAGAAACGCTGGACTAACTTATAACCGGAGGATAATGTTGGGGTCATCCATGAAAAAACTATTGTAATTACTCAAAAAAACAATTAGTTGTTTTATCTTTATAGACTGTATGTTGATGCTGATTTTGTTTAAAAAAAAACGCTGTTCGGTTTTTATTTTTCTTTAGCGTTTTCGTTTTTTAAGTTGGGTGTAAAACTGTAAATTATATGACGTTGCCAGGGAGGGGAAGTCACAATTGTGACCAACACATGTACCTACATATGAGAAGTATTGGATACATTCGTGTAACGTAATATACCTATGCATTAGTTATTTAAACGTTGAACATACAATAGCTATGCGAGCATTCACTCAGGTTTTAATAGCCTCGCCGGACAAAATGTCATGAAAATAAGACCATTATTTTGTAGTAAACGTTATCAAATAACTACTTACAATTTATGTAAAAATGTTTAACAAGTAGGAACAACTCAAGGAACTAAAACACTTAGACACAGGATTAGATAACACTCAGACACAGATTTCGACTCAAATCCCTCATCAGTTTGTTCGAGTTCACGTTAATTCGTCAGGAGTCCCCGGGCGCATCGCGTACGACACATCGCACCTCACAAGACGCACACCCGCGGAAATGCTCACCGGGATACTAAACATAAGCGGCCGAGAAACGTTCAATATTTCATTACTACTAAATATACTCCGCGGCGATCTGATGCTGCACCGATCATGTCTGAATCTATATCTGTGTGCGGCCGGATCGGCGCTTGGGACGTTACGCCGCTCGGGCAACAACTTGGGACACGAATATTTTCACAGTCAGAAATAGCCGCGCCACAATACTTCCCGATACATGTGCGACTCATCACTTCACTTCCTTATAGGGACGGTGAGTCCCCACACACATACATACACTTAACACCACGATTTCATTAGACATCTAAATTACCAAACGAACGGTATAACTTGTACTCTATGGGATTGGGAACTAGTCCACAACACTACTTGAAAAGCGTGTTCATATTTATCGAAAAGTCACTTTAAGTATTATTTGAATATATTTTAAAGTCAATAACAAACCCTTGCTCAAAATTAACACCAAAAACGTTAAAAGGGCAACAGTTGTCACTCTTATGGGAGCAATCATAAGTTCTCGACAATAGCAACACTGTGGATCAGCGTCAGAACACCGCTGATTGTATCGACTACAATAACATGAAATGATCCTAAATAGGCCTTCGATTAGTGTAACCTCGATATAATATAATTCCCAGTTTAAAATTAGCTGAACCTAGATTTCGAGGCTCCTACAAGCGGACTCTAACTACGAATCACAACAAGTTTGGAAGTCTTTTAGCAATTACACCGCAATACCATCATCCCTGAGGTGTCCCATTTGCAAACGAGCAGCTGCGGTTTCAAAGGTCACCGCGTATACTACCATACATTATAAACAAGAGTTTGTGCTTGGTTTGAAGTTATGTTTAAACTCTGTTTACTACTGGTGAGTCCAAAGATATTTTTTTATTCGACAATTAATATTTATTATAGGTATCATTATTTATCAATGAGTCCCGCCATTTATCAGGAATTATGAACATTTTTAGAAGTGCTGTGTACGCAAAGATGTCCACTGTTTTGTTTTCCGTCACCTTGACAATGATGGCGAACAATGTTAGAAACGAACCAGTGAGCAGATGTAGCTTTGTTGTGTATACAGCGTGTTCTGTAATGTGTTAGCGCGCGCCGGCTATGGCTGCACACACTTCACACGTTAACAGCTTTATGTGTTACAATACTCGTTTGGCGGACGTGTATATCACTACTAGCTGACCGGCGCAACTTCGTCTGCGTCTCTCAATAGTAATAAATTTTCTCCGTTTTTTGAAACATTCTTCATTGGTGCTCCGCTCCTATTGGTCTTAGCGTGATGATATATAGCCTATAGCCTTCCTCGATAAATGGGCTATCTAACACTGAAAGAATTTTTCAAATCGGACCAGAAGTTCCTGAGATTATCGCGTTCAAACAAACAAACAAACAAACAAACAAACTCTTCAGCTTTATAATATTAGTATAGATGTTTTGCTATTTCGATCATGTGAGGGATACTTAGGAAACAGATTTTTTTTTTCAGGAAGATGTGTCTGTATTCATTTCTACATCCCTGTGAACGATTATCTAAAACATGATTATCAGTTGAGTGAGAACTCAAATTCGCATTTATAACATTAGCTATAAAGTAGGTATACTTCGATGAGGTGACAGGGGGAGAGCTGGACCGAGCACCGCGCTTAGACGAGCGCTGGTGATAGCTCGTTCGGTACTGGGGAACAAACTGAGGGGGATTTTTACGGATTGTCTCGGCCTCGGTGTCTTCCCCCTCGCCTAGAAAGAAGCGAGACTGGTGCTTTTGAGAGGGTTATCTCAGACTGTATCAGCAGGCACCTGTCGCGAGTGGGCCCTGATCTGTCGAACTGCCACTTTGGATTCCAACAGGGGCGTTCCAAGTGTGTTCATCGGCAGTATCATGGGGGGAGGGGGGAGTGGCCTTATCGGTTGGCCTTGATATCAATAAAGGCGGCCCTTGAATATCACGAGGTGTCGCTCTACCTGCTAGCCGTCATTGGGGTCTATCTGCGTGACAGGACGGTGAAGTTTATCGCTCGGATCGGGGTGGAAAATCGAATGGAGGTGTGTTGCGAGGTTCTCCACGGCTCTGTTTTGGGCTCTCTTTTGGAGACTTTGTTGTGAAACCTCGCAATGATGCGGTCCTTCGCACCGCCAGAGTGCAGACTGGGAGGAGGTGGTTCAGCTCGCCAAGCAGGGGGTGCCTTGTGTCATGGGAAAGATTCGCGAGCTGAGGGTTATGCATCAGCGCTTCAGAAAACTGAGGCGATATGGTCCCATGGCTTACGTAAGCGCCAGAAACAACCTAGCTCACGCCTCTGGGTGGGTGACGCTGAAGTCCAGGTGGGCCGGTACATGAAGAACTTAAGCCTCATCCTGGACAGTCGCTGGTGCTTCGAAGAGCATTTCGAGCGATTAGTCCCCGAGTGCGGGGGGTAGTTGGTGCGCTACATCTCCCTCTTTTGGGCACCCGTCTGGACAAATGAACTTTACATGAGCGTTGAAATACAATACAAATTTGAATAAGAACAGTTACAGTTGTTTATATTCTATAGGTAGATTCATCATACGACAGCAATTCCATAGAAATTCCAACATGTTCTCGGCTCACACCGTAACACTCATCGACTGTCGAAATCTAAACTGTCAATTTTAATTATTCCTTTTTTTAGGGTTACGTTCCCCATGAGAAATCACAGGTACCATTACGGAATACTACGGATTGTCCGACAGTCTATCCGTCAAAGCATTTTCTCACGAAAGCATAAAAACACGTATTAAGGTAAAATTAACAACAATTCGCAGTCCTATGGAACTGTCAACTCAGATCTTTATGATTTTTCCTTTTAACCTACAATCTTTAAAATTTGTGATTTTCATTCAACTCATTGAAATATTTATCGTTTAGGTATATGAATTTGGATAGGTACTTCAGTTGGTTGTTAATTGTCGATTGTCGATTGGCCGTGAATGAATCTAATAAGCACACAAACAAAATAACGGTAAAAGAGCGTATTATTTAAAGAACACAAACAAATGCTATTTCGGTACGCGTTCGCCGAAAATACCGCGAGGTGTATTTTAACGTGCGACGCGTGAGGTGCGTGCGCTCTCCGCGGTCTCAGAGCGCGCTTTACGGATTCCTCTCTTAAATGTACTAAGTTGATAAACAACATTGCATTGATTATTTTTGCCTAATCACTAAATGACAATACAAAATGTGTACGTGTCTTTTTATGTATTCAAGGGTGTTATCAAATACCACTCGTGAAGAGCTGCACACCTAAGAATGGTAAAAATTAAGTTTCATTTAGTTAGGTAGAACATTTGTGCATAATCAAGTAAATACATATTTTAATATAAATAATTTCATAAAGCCTCGTCACACTATTTTCATATACAGTTACTTATATGTTGACTAACTTTCATGTTTTTCTACGAATTAATCAAATGCACTAATGTGCAAAGTGTGTCCTAATATCAACCTTTACTCATACGTCTCTATACGTTCTGTGCAAGTCCGACAATATGTAACTTGCGAAACGGTATCACCAATTTTAAAGGGCCTTAGGCCTAAGTCTAGTCGCGATAGACTGTTTATCGCGACTAGACTGTATTTTTCATCTCTTATTTTCGTCTTTAAATATGTACAATCAAATTATTAAAATAATATTGAATGAAATAAGGCGTGAAATACACAATTTTTAGAATTTTCTGACTACGACAGTCGACCGAATCATTTTTGAAAGCGGATTTTTTATTTATATTTTATTAATATAATTACTAGCTGACCCGGCAAACGTTGTTTTGCCATATACATTATTTCATTTTTTTTTTGTCTAAAAAAAATATTTGGTGTATGAAAAATAGATGTTGGCCGATTTCTCAGACCTAACCGATATGCACACAAAATTTTTTGAAAATTGGTCGAGCCGTTTCAGAGGAGCACCACGCACACCATGACACGAGAATTTTATATATTAGAAGAAGAAGAAATATACATATATATTCTATGATGTACTGAAAATGTAATCCCACTGAATCAGGGATATAAGTGTATGTGACAATGTCGACCAAAAAAATATTTACAAAAGTACTTTTTATTCGTTTGCACACCCCTATTGAACAACACAAATCCAGTGGAACTATAAATTTCAATTTACATCTGAAGTAAGCAAATCAATTTTAGAACAAACGAGGCTTTGTCGTCCAAAGCGACAGCGAAGTAGGAAGCGAAACGAAACTACAAACATACAACAGGCACAAACAAACAAATACACGTGTCGGAAACGTCAAATACAATTCATAAGCAACCCTATCCCGAACACGTTAAGTCTAATATAGTTTAAGAACAAATAGCTAGTACTAGAAAATATGTGCAAGACTGCATTGGTGTGTAATACTACGAACAAGCCAATCGAAGCCTTACATCTTAATACTTAAAGACCATTTTAGGTAGTGAGAAGTTAGACAAGAATAATGGCAATGTACTGGCATTCAGCCAACGTTGATACGATATGTTTTAGGAATTCCATAGTCAGTGAAGCTACGGGCTGATTTATGGCGCGGCGAGCCGAGATATATAATTGCATTTTTGTGCACATATCAATGGTTGTATTGCTAGACGTAGTGTAAGCGACACCCCTTAATTGCTTACACCGTGTACCATCAAGTATTGTGTAAAACATGTGATCGCAGTGTCGGTACTCGAGCTAAAAGGTTTCTATGCAGCAGTAACACCATCTCTCGCAATAACAGCGCACCATAATTAGCTTGGGATAAATTGAAATTAAGAAATATTATTTGTACTATTTACATCATTAATTTTTTATCGATAACTAAAAAAATTGTGTTGAGTTCTACCTCATTGCCGATTTAGTGAAACAAGGTAGTCAATTGTCTTTATTGTACAGTGGTTTACATTGACGTTACGAGCTATGGTTATGTTTTGAGTTTAAATGACGTCACGATGCATCCCTTTAGGAGCTATCGAGTAGTTTGGATCGACGGCAAGGGACCATCGGTTCATTTGTTTAAGTAAAGTCAACAATAAAACAATGTGAAAAGTATATCGGTTTGTAATTTACACCGTGAATCTTCTACTGGAGAACTTTTGAGTTTGTTTGTCTTTATATCGACCGATCGTCGTCATGTAGAACTATGAATTATATGTAGATATCAATTATAGATAACTCGAAGGTATGTAATATATCGCTGGCTACGTGTTATAATTCATCATAGTATTATTCATGTGTGAAAACTCGTAATTGGCCTTTAGCTATTCTATTTTTTACTTATAAGAATTATTTAGCCGTTAGTTTGCCGGAAAGAATAAAATATAAAATAAGTATGGCGTAGCGGCGTACCTTGACGAGGCTGAGCCTGATGGCGAGGCTGGTGCGGTCGGACACGTTGGCGCTGGTGGTGTCGAGCAGCTCGGCCACGAGGCGCAGCTGCGCGCGCGCCTCCCCCCCCGCGCGCGCCGCCAGCGCCTGCAGCGCCTCGGCCGCGCGGCGCCAGCGCTCGTCGAGCAGCTCGAGCTGGCCCTGCACGTCGGCGGCCAGCGGCGCGCCGCACGCCGCCACCACGCCCCGCCCCGCGCTGCGCGCGCCCGCCGCCTGCTTCTGGCGCGCCGACATCTGCCGGGACGTCGCACCGTATAAACGTTTTACTCTCGTATCACCCTAATATCGTCATTCACTTTTGTTATTGTTGAGCTGCATACACTGAAGTATTCAATCGTTATTTAACCTCTCCTCACTATGTGCGGTGACGGATTAAGAATACGGAACGTCACCACCCCTATTCATCCCGTGAGTGTCGTGAGAGACGACCGAGGGAACAAACTACGCAGGACGACAGCACTGCAGAGAGAAGAAAAACTTGACACAAACCCTACACCGACCCGTCTGGCCGGCGTGGTATAGTAGACCAAAACCACTTTTCTAAGGAGAAGCCTATATCCAGCAGTGGACTATTATAGGCTGAATGAATAATTTTCATAAGTCGCGAAAAATCGCGAAATGCCACTACACTATTAAGAGCCTTCACCGGTGAGCGCTGATCAATGTAGCGACACATGATAAGTTAATATTGTAAGCGCTCGCCGTTTTACTATAAGTATTAATCTTTAAATAAATATTCTAAAACCATTAAACTATTCGAGATTTCGTATCGCCCGACAGAATTAAGAGTCAATACTACAGTGAATAGGTAATGTTCATTACGTACAGAGAATACGATAGTCAATAATTTAATATATCACACAGAGTAACTAAGATCATTAAAAGAAACAAAAACTTTAATAATCAATACCGTATTATCTCTGATAGTTTGATGAACTATTTAGTTTACTCGATACGGCTCTAAGCTCAGTTTACGTATTCAATGATATTTCAACAAGCCAATATTAAATCAAGTTAAGTTCACACCTGTTTCTCCAAATCCCGCACTTTCTGTTTGAGATCCTTGAGGGGCAGAGCGGGGTCCTGCGCGGCCTCGATCGCGCGCTCGGCGCCGTCCAGCCACTCGCCGCACGACTCCAGCAGCGAGTACAGGTTCGTCCAGACGGTCTGGCATTTACTCCATCTACGACACGAGTATACAATAAACGTACATCATTTGAAACGATATTTTCAAAATTTAAATCGAGTTCTCTCTGTATAGTGCGGGGATGATCATTTTATTTGTTGTAATAGAATAAGTTTACTACTAGCGAACGGTTAACTTGATAGTAAGCGACTACCGTTGCTCATGAAAACACGTAATTTAAGTAATATAAGTGAAGTTATGCCTTTTGCATGACTTTCATCCTCGAACTGAGAGCTCAAACGAATGCTGTGAATCGACTAGCATCGTATGTCGTTGAGGCATCAGGTGTAACCTGAAAATGAAACTCCTGGTATCCCAACGGATTCCAGTCTATCGACGGCTTACAGATGGCCTTTTCGTATGTGGGGACTACGGTATGTTCTTTCTGATTGTAAAGGGCGTGTGCTATTCCGTCTGGGGTGCGTGCTGTGTTCGCGCGCTCTCGGTCCATGCTTAATACCGGTTTTTGTAAAGTCGTGGTACGATTCGGTCGAGCCGGTCCTCGTACCGAAACATGAATCTCCCATGATTAGAAAAGGCAAATATAGGCAAAGTATAAAACGTGGAATATGTGAGTGTAACGTAATCAAAGTGAAGTGCGGCGGGCGAACCTGTCCTGTCGCTCGGCGGCGGCGCGCTGCAGCGCGGCCCACTCGTCGCGCAGCTTGTCGCGCACGCGCCGCGCCTGCGCCGTGGGCCCGCGCGGGTAGTCGCGCTCCGCGCCCTCCAGCGCCGCGCGCGCCGCCTCCGCGCCGGCGCGCAGCGCGCCCAGCGCGTCCTCCTGCAGCGGGAAGTCGTCGTAGTCGCGCCCGCCCAGCGGCGGCGCGCGCAGCTGCGCCCCCAGCGCGGCCACGCTCTCGCGCGCGAGGTTGGCGCGCCTCACGTACTCGCCGCACGCGCTCTCCGCCTCGTCGTCCTGCGCATGCACCGCACGGATTAATATAAGAGTCATTTTTAATAACTCTTTTCTTAATATTTGTTAAAGCTCTCCGTGTCGTCCTTTCGGGACACGCTTATTCATATGAAGGTGTACCGACCGGTCGGTCGGCCTCGTTGACGGCGATGGCGGCCCAGGCGGCGAGCGCGTCCCCGACGGCGCGGTCGGGCAGGCCCACGTGCTGCGCGCGCAGCTCGCGGCACAGCCGCTGAACGCGTTCCGCCGCGGCCTCGCGCTCCGCGTACTCGCTGCGAACCCGCTCCTAAACGATACACAAATACATATCGGTAATCCACATATTCTAAGGAGTACCGTTAGACAATGAAAAAATAAAGAGTGAGTAAAAAAAATCGATAACGATTGAAAATATCCGATTCTTAAGAGATATCGATATCTTTAAATTTATAATTCGATTGCAGTTTTACAGATTTATATGTTACTATAGAAGCCCGTTTATTACTTTATCTTCGATTTTTCTAGTAAATCGATTTTAATAATCTAGAAAAATAATGATCGATAAAAACAAATGAGCGTCTATAATAACAATAAAATCAAACACACTTAACGAAACCAAATAACACAAAGTCTAGCTTCAAGCACATATCAGTGTCAACAATAGGAATAATAACTGGTAAAATAAGTTGACAATACACCTTGCACCTAATTTCACAACAAAAAAGATTTGCAAACGTTTTTCGCCCTCAGTGACATTTCTCCAAAAACATGTTTTTTAAGAAATGAGAGAAAGATATTAGACATTGAGGTCATTAGGTTTCAAATTGCTGGCAGTTATTTTTTTATATTCCCATCACATATAAATCATAAAAAAATTGGTGCAAACAATTTTCGACTTTATGAACATCCACAATTACTAATTTCTTTTTTAATATTCGTGATATATATGTAGATGCAAAAAGCATTTGAAAAGGAAGTAATTTTTTATATTGGTTTTATTGATTTGTTTAAAAGATTTACATTTAAAATTAGTCAATAAGAATTGTACATCTTGTGATAAAATAGAAATAGCTTCATAATTCCATAGTTTTACGGTATAGTTTATTTAAATTCTGTGAATTACGCTCATACAAAGTTGTTTCGTCTTGAAAAGTATGAAACGTCAAACGGTACCTTGATCGATTAGATGGACTATAGTAAATTAAATTCACATAACTGTTCTTTAGAACGTAACCGGTGCGAAACATACGACTAAAGAATCACATAGTATTTAATATATCAACCGTTAAAATATTATAAATGGAATACATTACCTTAACAGATAACCTTAATAGAGAACGTTAACGTTCAGTACATTTAGTTCTATCTGTCGCAGTTATTTCTACTGAGCGCTAGGTCTTTATACCTAGAACTATAATGTTCGAACACTACAGATATCTAAAGTTATTAAATCGTTTGCTATACCCCACAGTACTAGAAACTTCTCCAACGTTCCACCTCATGTAATCATTACATATGTACATTGTACACTTATATTTTCCACACATTTTGTAATATTTTAGGTATAAATAAAGTCTCTGAAGGTCTTAAAAATACTTGTTCCAAATTTAAAAATCTTAAAAAATTAACACTAACTAATTTTAAAGGTAAATCACAAAAACTGTTAAATCAATAAACTCATAAAAATTGGCTCGAAGGACCATATTATGTGACATGTTAGAACCCTACAATTCCGATAGCCCTTCAATACAATAACTAGCCGTAGACTAGTAAATAAAATGTGTGTGTGATACTTAATTGTTTATGTGATGTAAGTTTTTGTATTTGTTTATTGTATTGATTAGTGTTTTTGAGCAGAAAATAAAGAATTAGTATTATAGTCAATTCAATGATGTGATACTACATTTTGTGACAAAATAGCACTTCAGGGTGTGACTTTGGTTATTTATGAAATTCTCTCGTCACAACACACTTACAGGATCATTGTTTATGTTATTGTCTAGGGAGTCACACCACGCCTGAAGCTCGTCCACGAGCCGCGTGAGCTCCTTCACGTTATCCTCGGCGGCCAGCGCCAGGTTACGCTTCAGCTCGATCTCAGACATCACCATCGACCACTTGTTGCGCAACTTGTCCTGCAACATACCAACGAACATCGTTTTACAATGTGCAAACAAATTTAAAATATCAGCGTCCTTTTTATTTAAATAAACTCAACGACACAGAATGTTGCAGTGATTACCTGAAAGTGTGTCTGTATGTAGTCAGCGAGTAACGGGTTATCCTTGTGCTTAGCGTAAACGAGCGAATCACCGCGGGAGATGAGCGTCGCGGCATCCGGCGCCAGCTGGCCGAGCTGGTTCTTCAAAATCTGTTCATATAAATATATTGTTATGTTAATTACACTATTTTAAGACAACCGAGACAAAGCCTTCTTTCTGAGGACAGGCCTGTGCCCCGATGAAGACCACATGCGGATCACGTTACATGCATTGAAGCCACAGACATAAAGACACTCAAGACTCGGTACAACTATTCGTAGATCATAAAAGCTATTCTCGCCGTAGAGCGCGCCTATGCAGGGAACACACGAGAGGGACGCACCTCGAGCCTCTTGGCGGGGTCCCTCTCGGAGGCGACGCCGCCGACGGTGAGCAGCATGACGTCCATGCGGCGCGCCAGCCCCTCGGCGGCCGCCTCGAACTGCGCCAGCTCCGCGTCCCACGCCGCGCCGAACCGCAGCGAACTGGCCTCGCCGCCCTCCTGCGGGGCCTGCACGCCTTCCCGAGGAGGGGCCGGTGGCTGCTCTTCCTGATAACCAACTCTATGATTTATATATATGTATAATGATTTACTGCAGTAAAATTGTTAGGTCAAACTATACTCAAAAATTTATATTATTTTCTTAATTTAAAGAAATATCACCTGTAAAGGAAAATTAGTGGTGTCTACAGTATCAGCGTTTTATTACGACTATAATCTCACCTTCGCGATGTACTCGTCGGTCCGCTGATACTTTTCATTCTGCACGGTCTTCAGTCGTTCCTTGCTTATCGGTATGTGTGATTTGGTGCCCATCAGCGGGCTCTTCGGTTCTCTGCCCGGCAGCGGACTCGTCGTCTTGTCTGTCTTACCGGACAACTTGGGCGACATAGCCACCACTTGGACCTGTTTCTTGCCAGCTGGATCTGCCGCTTTGATCGGAGTAGAGGTAGACAGAGGCTGCTTGTCGTCGAATTCGCTACATGACGCTGATCGTAACTGAAAAGTATGTTTAAAATACAGCATCGCACGTTTTAAATATATTTACAATAAAGTGACTAACGAATAAACTTCACTTTTAAATATCGCTTGACGTAATTTTAATTTTTTGGAAACACAAATAAAACCTAATTTAGTTAATCTTTCACTGTAGTCATACAATTAGATCCTAGGCGAAAAATATGTTTCTCCGTTTTCCTATATATGAAGAACGAGCCTCACCTATGTATAAACCCACGCCTACAATATCCAGATAATTACTGACATCTGACATCATCTATGACATAGCTCACACTACTAAACGAATAGACATACACAAATACAGATATTTTACCTGAGGCATATCTTCCACTTCAGAATAAATAACTTCTTCCTCTTCCACACTCTGGCTGAATTTTCTTCTTATCCTCTCGGGGGTAGACCCACTGATACCAATACCTGAATTTTTCGAAAGCTTGTCTGCAGCGTGTATTTGGCTCTTGTCAAAGGTGTCTTCTGTTGCGGAAGGTTCAGGCAATGCAGCCTGGTCTTTTGGCACCTCGTCCAGTATGAGGTATTCGTTAACTTCGTCACTCCGAAGGCTGCGATGAGCCTCCTGCTGCCGCACTGCTAAGTCGAATAGTAAAGGACATTCGGCAGCCTCGTTTTCGTCTAACGGCGTAGGGGGTGGAGTCTTTAACGAGACGTTCTCTTCTTGCTTTTCCGTTGAGGGTATCAGGTCTGGTGCATCCATGGCAACTTGCGTCGTCGTAGGTTTGTCCTCTTCGTTACTGCTCGTACGTTTCAGTATACCAAGAGTAGGCCTCATCCTATGTTCAAGAGTTTTAACTTCCACTACGAAGGTCTTAGGTTCGGTGCCAAGATCGACGGTGGGTCGCCTCTCATACGAGTCCGGATGACCTTCTTCATCGGATTCTGTGAGTGAGTCGTTCTCCGTGTCGTCGATTATTTCGACTGTCTCCACGTTTTGCGGTATGAATTCGACGACACTATCAATAGTTTCAAACGGATATATCTCCACAGTTTCAATGGGGCTCACGGTAGATTTCACTATTTCATGTTCTTTCACCTCGACCATGTGGCAAGGGTCTGCTTTGGGTTTTGCGATTTCCTGAGGTTTTTTCGGCTGTATTTTGTTATTAGATATTTGTGTAAATAGATCGCTATCTTTTAGAAGGTTGAAGGTACTGCTATTTTTCCTGGGTGTGTCCGGCGTAGTCGGCACAGAACTAACGCGGGAGGTAGAAGGTTCGATGGAATCGGTAGACATCGCACTACTAATGCTGCCCGACATGGAGCTCTCAGATACCCTTTTGCATCTTTCTAAAGACGACGCCCTACTCCTATTGCCACCTTCTTTAATCTCTTTCCGTATCGGTACAGGGCTTTTCAAAGCCAGTGGTATTTTAGATCTTTTGAACTCGGGCTTTTCGGTCTCTGGAGTATTAACGGGGCTCTCTAGGCGCCTTTTGATAGTGTCAGTAACGTTCTCGTACCCGACAACGACCGCGTTTTCACTCAGTGTGGCGGCCTGCAAGCACAAACCGTCGGTCACTTTAGTCGCTACCGTTATTGTTAATCCACACTGTTATTTACATTGTTAGTCAAAACTAAGTTTCCTCTCGTACCTTCGCCAGTGACGGTCAATGATCCCAAGCGCCGCTGTGATGGAGGTGATATAAGCATGATTCCCGCCAATGTGAGACCGGTAAAAGCTCGAAGTGGCACCAATGCGTACAATGGTATGCCGTGACACAAAGCATCGTTCACACAACACATTACACCAACACCATTCGCTTATTTACAGTATGTATCGTGATCCGGACATTACTTTTACATTTACTTTACAACAAGTTTTGAGGAAGTCAGAAGGAGCACACGACAAACAGCAGAACGTTTAGTTTGTTATTGGACACGTTCGTTCAAACATCACGATCAACTATCAACACCAACGTTGTACAGAGTGTCACTTACCGTCCCCTAAAGCGTCTACGTGCAATATGTTCAGTGTTTGTCTAACGTGAAGCGTACAAGTGGCTGTGACGAGGGTCACACCGAGACCCGAGTGAAACATCTTACTACACATTGAAACTGTCGTTGGTAAGGGACCGGCAATGTTCCATCGTACATCAACATTTGTTACCAATCACAGATAATATAAAAAAAATGATTATGTAGATGAAAGATTGGCGCCCCAGTGTCAGTGTAGCGGCAGCGTGCACCTGTCATATATAACAATGGTCCATTGATACACAATAAGATTGAAGTTATTCGGTACGAATATTTTAGTGGAGAATAGCAGCCAAAACAATGAAGGTAGAATCGAGTTTGTAAACATTGATTTATATCTCGATTTTTACCAAGCAATTCATAGAAGTTTCTTGTATTGAAACGAATGCGTGCATATAATTCTCCATACGAATACTCCATACGAGAATCAAACCAATGGCTACATAGCGCGACGTGTATTAAAGTTCAGAGATATCATGTATTCTTGTGTCTAATTACGTATTTGTATGAAAATGCATGTCTATCTTAAGGTAAATCCATGTACCTACCACAATATGAACTGCCCAAATATAAACAAACGTACTTACCGTAATCTTGTCGATTATTTTCTCCCACAGCTTGCTAAGCATCTTGTTATCCAGAGCTTCGACGTCTTGCGCTTTAGCGCGCACCTCATTGCTGAGCACCTTGAGTTTAGCGGGGGACATGGTGGACGGACTGTCCAGCTCCTGCTCGATGTCGCTCAAATACTTCTGTAGAACGTCGATGTCGTTGCCGCGCTTCACCAACCCGTGCTTCTTCAAGTGCGTCCAGCGGGAGTTGATGGTGTCGATCTGTTCCTTTAACTTCTCCAAGTAGACTGGGTCGCAGTTCTTAGCGAACTCCACGTAGTTGCCGTTCAGTTTGTCTTTGATAGCTTCCATGCGGGACATCTCTAGTTCCAAGGTTTGTTTGCCGATGTTGGTGCCGAGCCCGTCCAGCCACGTCGTCAGTGATTGTAAGTCGTTTTGTATTTCGCGGGCCGTCAGCAGAGCATACTCCAGCTTTGTCTTGGATTCGGTGATCTGCGCCCCCAGCTTGTTGTACAGTTCTTTCAACATGTCAATCTTTTTGGAGAACTCTTGAGGTTCGGGGACGGTTTTTTCTTCAACCATCTTGCGTCCGGTCTTTATAATAGACTCCACCTCCGACTTGATCTCGCTGAGTGTTCGGTAAAATCTCTGCAAAGAGAAACGTCATTACAAGTTACCGAATCACTGTAATACCTACACCGTGCTACATTTTGATTTGCAAGTTTACTACAATATTGATATACGATATTCTGATATCATAAATAGTGAAAAAAAGGTGTGTGAATAGTGCCGCGTGTACAGTGTTTACTTACTATCCATTTGTACAAGGCGACGCTCAAAACAACGAAAAGATAGAGAGAGTCCCAGTTCATGTTGGGGACGAGCCTTGTGGTGCAGCAATGAACAGAGTCGAGGGAGGAGAGAGCGGCGACTGAGCCTCGCCGCTCCGGTATAATAGACATACGCACTCGCTGATATACAACGATCGGGCCACAAATATAATGTTATGTTGTGAATGGATATTCTTTTAATCAAATTTAAAAAATATGATAGTTTAAATAATTTAATAATTTACAGGGGTATAATTTTAATCAGTCTTAATAATGTAACTTTTTAATTGAAAAATACGTTAATGTTATTTAATTCATCACGCATTCACGTCTTTATCAATATATCATCAATCTGTATTCATGTAGTATATTTATAATGATCGGTATAAGCCACACTATAGATCGAGTCCTCGTAAGAACTGTGTGTAAGGATATTTCATCGATGAATAACCAAACGGTGACAACGGGATGAGCTATATTTTCACATTAGAATAACTAAAGAACGAAGGCGAAACCTTCTGAATAACAAGCCGATACCAGAGCCTCTGTGTTTGGCACATCCGCGAGCACGCGTCACTTCGTAGCGCGGTGTAATCACAAATGGATTGACAGAATCCTTTCAATGTCAGCGCTGAGAGCGCTCGCCGCACGCGACACTGTGCAGCTCGCCGCCACCGCCCGCTAATCGTATTGTACAGCCGCGCAGTGTGTCGACTCCAATCGAACACCTCGCCCCGACATGTTCATAAGTTATTACTTCATTTTTAATCGTGGAAGCAGACAGACATTGCTTAAACTCCACAGCATAAACACTTTCACATTTTTACCATTAACACCTCATTTGGACGTCCGAAATATATTCAAAATACGTAACGTGACGAAACTGGTGGACTATTCCAACAATTTTAACGTGTGAAATTAAGCAGAGAATAATATAATAAATTCCTATAGTAGCACATACACGATAATTAACTACTTAATAAGTGGTAATACCGTTGACGTTCTTGACATCTATACTCGTAATAGAGGGACAAGGGTATATATCTAATAACTATCAAAAAACGGCCTGCACATCGTCTTATGTCTTAAACTGTTTTTTTGTGAATTTCAATATTTTATACACACAGTTACAAATTAGCACACTGGTCTCTGAGAACAAACAACTGCACCAAATTATAATGACTATTCACACATTTGAGTCGTAACGCCTCGCCAAACACAAAGTGGCAGTTACCAACACAATGAATCATGGCATTCGTCCACGTTGTTTGTGACAAATAGTTGCGATTTGTTTACAAACCGTAGTGGGCCGCCGCCCGCCGCAGCCGCGCTCAGCTGACCACGCGGTATGTTCCCCGAGCTAGCTGTCAATAGCCTACTACACACTTACCAGGGGAGGTCCAAAAGTTCGTGGAATGAAAGGGTTTTAAATAAAATGAAACAATAAATCTATCTTTTCCTTCCCAATATAATCACCCTTAAGCTGAATACATTTATTAGATCTATGAATTAATTTTTCTAAACCGTCGTAAAAATATGTTCTATCTTGTATAAAAATCACTTGGGGCCAGATCTGGAGTGTAGGATGGGTGGACCAGTGTTTCGAAGCCATGCTTATGCAGAGCAGCCATTGCAACTCTGCTCTTGTGAACCGGCGCGTTGTCTTGCAAGAGCAACACACCCTTGGTCAATTTTCCTCGACGTTTTTCTTTGATGGCCTATTTTAATTTCTCTAGTATCGTTGCGTAGTATTCTCCGGTTATGATCCTTCCCTTTTCTTTGTAATTAAATTGTATTATCCCCTCACAATCCCAAAAAACAATAGCCATCTACTTTAAAGCCAACTCCGACACTTTAGAGTTTTTGCATGGACTCTTCTTTGGACTCAGGCTCAAAGTGATGAACCCATATTTCATCTCCGGTAACAATCCGCTCCAAAATCTGTGCAGGTCCAGTCCAGTGTCTCCACACAACTCCAAAAATTGTTTTGACGCATCGACGCTCTGTTGTTTCTAAAGCGGCGTGAGCATTGTCGGTACCCATCTTGCACTGACTTTTGTCATACCCAGGTGGTCAGGTAGGATTCGCAAAATGGTGGTATCTGATACTCTAACTAATGCAGATAACTGTTTTTTCTTCAAACGGGTGTCCTCCAGTACAATTTTTTCTACTTTTTCGATGATATGGCTCTAGCCGACTTCTTTCTTTTTCCTAAACCCAAATTACCACTTCGTGGCACCCGTTTTCAATCGGTAGAAGACATAAAAGAGAATTCGCGGCGAGAACTGAACTCAATTCCGGAAACAGGGTTTAAAAATGTTTTGATGATTGGATTATTCGTTGGCGTAAGTGTATCGGTACTGAAGGCGCATACTTTGAAGGTGATAAAATAAATTTGGATGAATAACAAACATTTTGTGTATTATTGATCTTCTCCCGCTACTTTCTTGACAGAGTAGTATAGCGATATCTTTCTTTAAGCGTTGCTGCACATGATTATTGTGAATATTTATGGCAAACATCTGAAGTGACATACCACAATTGTATTTTGCTATCACGTTTCTGTGAAATGTTGTTCATATTTCTAAATGGCACAGCTGTGGATGTTTATTGTCTAGACAGACGACGGTTTCGGTGTTAAGTCTACTAGCTCGTTGGATTAAAAATGGCACACATGTTTCTGAAATGATAATGTATGTAGCGTGTAATATGTTTTGTTAGTGTTTGGTCACACGGTGTTCACAATATTATACAATAATATAATAGGTTCGGTCGCCAAGGACGTCAAATTAAAAGGCGTTGGCAGAGCGTGACGCGGTTATCGAATATCGTCGCCGCTGCGTACGCGCCGCTCTCCGATCGACTCGATTTAATTATATTGAGAGTTATGAGAATTATGCAAATTTGCTATCATTATTTGCTTCAGAATCCTTTCTATTTTAGCGAAAAAAAGTTTTCGTTTGTTACGATTTTAAGATTTAATTTTGACGTTCTTGTCGGTTTAGTGGTTAGCGATCTCGACCGTTAAGCTAGAAGTCGGCGGTTCGATTCCCGCTTAGGATAAATATGTGATGAGTACGATTATTTACATTGGGTGTAATTTATCTACAAGATGCTCAACGATTGCTCACAATCATACTTTTATACGGTGACCGGACTCGATTACCATAGTACAGGCTTAACCCGGTTTGGGATTAGACGGCTGCGCATAAGACGTGCTAAGCTATTATTATTAACTATTTAACTGATATTCTTAAAATTTCGTCGTCAGTCGAACCGTTGAGCGAGTCGGGTGAGGGTTAAACGACGATAATAGGTGTTCCTTGTCAAATCCATCGTCGAGCTTTTTTAAATTGATAAGTGTCGTAAGTACTAGATTTATTTATTTTTTCGGATGCGAATGTAGTAGGAGATGAGGCACGTACCAGGCAGGTCCGCAGCTGCGCGCGCACGGTGTCGGGCTCGTGCCCGGGCGGCGCCAGCGCACGCGCACACTCGCGCTGCACGCCGCCCAGCGTCGCCGCCGCCGCCGCCAGCCGCGCCGGCAGCGGCGAGTCCGCGGCGCCCGCCTCCGCCTCCGCCTCCTCCTCCGCCTCGGACGACACCGCGTCGGCCGCGTCCAGCCACTCCTCCACGTCGGCGAACTTGCGCTGCGAACGACACTCACGATAACGGAAACGACCACAGCGCTGTATTTCGATCTTACCGCATAGATTCTTCTAAATCGGTTTACCGTCTACGGTTACGACCGGAGTGTTCGACTTTTATTAAAATCTAAGAAAAACATATTTAAAAACTCTAATTAACCAACTCGATATTCACGATGACCGCGTTCGACGCTGCGATTGGCCCGCGCTAAAATTTTCACCGATCGGAACGCCGAACGCGGTCGGTCACCGCCGAGAACGTTGAGTCACTTCACAAACTACGAAAATGTTCGATTTAGAATCCACACCGGTCACTTACTATTTATTTTTACGTCTTTGCAATACTTAGTTATAGATTCTATAGACGACATATCTCGCACCAAAAAAATGTGACAGATTTATTATCGAGTCTACAGTAATCATTGAAACCGCAGTAATCGTTCAAGGAGTTACGAGATACTTACGTCAGTCGGCATGGGCGTTCCCGAGACAGCGTATTTCAGACGAGCACATCCAAATTTATTTGAAATCGAAAAAATATATTACGTGTGCTTCATACGATTCTAGATGAAAGTTTTACCAAAACCATGGTTACACTAATTAATGATTGGAAAAAATATATTTTTGGTTTTAAATCTACTAAATAATGAAATATGTATGATAAAAACGGCAGAGCTAAGACGTGGGCGCGCGTACCGTGAGCAGGTCGAGCTGGTCGCGCAGGCGCGCGGCGGCCTCGTGCTTGCCGGCCGCGGCGTAGGCGTCGGCGTGAGCCTGCACGCGCGCGGCCAGGCGGCGCTGCTGCGCCAGCTCGGCGCGGAGCTCGGCGGGCGGGGGCTGCGCGCGCGCGTCGGGCGGCGCGGCGGCGGCCAGCCACTGCTGCAGGCGCTCCACCCACAGCTCGGACGCGGCCGCCTCGCGCGCCGAGCGCTCCAGCAGCGCGCTGCGCGCCGCCGCCTCCCCGCGCAGCGCGGCCCAGCGCTCCGTCACGCCGTCGATCTCCGCCTGGATCCAGCCCGGCATGATGTGCGCGTCTATCAGCTGCCGCCCGATGTCCTGGATGCGGGCCAGCCGCTCGTCGCTGTGGTTCTGAATGTAGTTCTCCAGATCCTGTCCGTGACGGAACCGTCGGTGAGTAAACGATCTCGAGGACGAGTAGAGCGACGGAGTCGAGCGGCGCACTCACGTATAGCTCCTCGGAGATCTCCTCGGCGTCGGCGGGCGCGTTGGGCGAGCGACGCAGGCGACGCTGCAGCCCGTCGAGCCAGGCGCCCTCCTGCATGAGCCACGCGCGCAGTTCGCCCGACTCGTGCCACGCCTCCGCCAGCACCCTGCGTGTCATATTTTTCTATTTTTAACGCCCGAAACCATGCTTAACCACCATTACTATCCCAAACTGTACTGTTACAATTTAAAGTTTCAGAACTTAAAGCGAGAACGCGCGATACTTTTTTTCTGACCACTGCCGCCCATGAACTCCTACAACTCGCGAGACACGAGTACCTTCGGTTGACATCATAATGGCATACGGGAGTGAAGAGTACGTACTTGTACCGCTCGTAGACGCCGTGCGTGACGTCATTCCAGCGCGCGTTGAGCTGCGTGACGCGCTTGGCCAGCGCCGCCGGCCGCCGCTGCTCCGCCGCCAGCAGGATGTCGTTCCCTGCGCACACAGACAGGCTCAGACCTCGCTCGAATCAACCCCTGTGACCCTTCCCCCTCCCCCCACTACCGCGCACCCCGCACTCACCCGCCTCGTTGAGGTTCCGGAACTCCTGCGTCTTGTCGTCGCACTTATCCTTGAGCGTCTGGAAGCGCGCCTTCATCTGGTACAGCTCGGCCGAGTCCGTGATGTTGCACTCGTGGTCCTGGGGCAGTTGAGACGAGATCTGCTGCAGCCACGACTCTATCTCCGCCATGCCTACGAACGATGCGTACTATTAGTATTCGACATTGCCGCACGGTAACCGTGACGTAAACTCGAACGGTCATCTGTTATATAAGTGATAAACCAGTTCCTTACAAAAGTAAAAAAATCTTAAAACACAAGTGAGGGTACGAAGTTGGTACCCTTGAAGTGCTCACCTCTGAAGACGGCCTCGGTCCTCTCGAGAGCTCTGCGGAGTTGTTCGTTCTGTTTTAAGCACTTGCCGGTGAGGGTGTCGTATCGTTTCCTCAGCTGTCTGGTGTCGTTCTGTACAACCTTGGCGATGGTCTCCTCACAGTCCTCTAGTATCGAATCTTTGGACGTTTCAATGGTTTGCAGTTTCGACTTGTAAGTCGACTTATCGTCTTCAAATTTCTACAAAAAAGATAACATGATTTTATTGCTTCGTATACTCCCTTGCTAATATAAACGATAAATTTAAGTTTTCACTTCCAACCAAATGTATGTTAGCTTTGTAAAACCTTTAGAAATCAAACAAACACTTAGTATTTTATAAATTGGCGATTGCAATATTAGACCGTCACTAATTCGATACTCGAAATGGAGATGGGTAGGTCACATGATGCGGGAAAATAAAGGGAAATGGAGCAAAGCTGTTACAGAATGGTACCCAAGGGATGGACGCAGAAGCCGAGGAAGGCAAAACATAAGATGGGAAGATGAGATCAGGTTGACAGTGGGACCATTGTGGAGAAGGGTTGCTCAGGACAGACAACAATGGAAATCGTTGGAGGAGGCCTATGCCAAAAGGCACACCGAATTAAGAGACATAGTGTAACTAAAATCATGTAACATGAAAATGAACCTGTGTAATCTCTTACTTTGGTATAAGGGGCTATATATATATATATATAATTCGATACTCACGTTGCTGGTGTCAAGGGCTCTCTCGAGTAGTTCCACTTCCCCGAGCGGCACGTACTCGTTATCTCGCAGGAACTGCTCCACCTTGTCCAGCCACTGCCCTACCGCTGCACTTTCCTGTTCGAACTGCTCCATTAATTTCGCACCTGAAAACGACAATAACATTAAATACATTAAAATCACTGTTTACAAACCTCCAGAGCCAATTATGTTTTTCTTTTTCTTCGTACTCGACTTACCATTTTCTAACTTGCTAATCTTCTGCTGCAATATAGTTTTAGTATCCTCAAACTTGGTCACCAAATTCTCGACACTGCTCCTGAAGTTCAACTCCTGAACGCTTCCTTTTTCGTAGTTCTCTCTGCGGTCCTTCACCACCTTGTCGTAAGTGGACTGCAGCTCGTCGAACTCCTGCCGCAGCTTGTTCAGCTCGTCCAGCTTGGAGCTCATCACGTCTCGAGAGGAGATCATCGCGTGTTCAGATATGATCTGCATTTCGATCTGATGTATTCTATTCTGCAAGCTCTTGAAGTCGTCGTTGTGCTTGTCGACAGGTTTCTTGGTGACGGCGAGCTTGATCTCCACTTCCCGTTTGGTGAGGTGCAGGAGCAGCTCTTCGTACGCTTTGTTGATTCGCTTCGAGTCGGTTTCGATTTCGTCTTTGTGAGTTTTCGATATCGGTTTCGTTAGCAGTATTATGGATTGTGCATTTAGTTCCTTCAGTTTCATGTCTAACTGCTTCACCGCGCGTATCTTGTTTCTGAATTAGGAAAAAATAAATATATGCCTTTAAGATATTATAAGCATTAATACCTATGGAGTTAAACCGATCTAGCCCCAATCAACAAATATATTAATGAGGACCTATTTCTTAGCGTTCCATGGATTCACCGTGCGGGTGCCGGGTCCATCGCGTGGTAAATAGGGGAAACACATGCGTCGGCGCTTACCTCCACTGGCTGCTGTGTTACCCCCTCTACCTAACCATATTTGATACCAGCCTAGCAATGCCGCTTTGGATATGGATTGATATAAATGCAATTAATTAGAATGTTTAGTAAGTAGAGCAAGTGGTTTACCTCAGGTGTATAAGTTGGTTGTTGGTCGGTTTCTCGTTGAGCATCCGTTCCTTCCACGCGTGGATGTCGTCCAGCTCCCGCTGGAGAGCCTCCACATTCCGGTTGAAATTCTCCTTGTCCTCCAACAAGTTCATAGTGTTGCGAATCTCCAACAATGTCCGCTGGATGGACTCCCAACGCTTTTTGAGCTCTTCAATGCTTTCTTGATGACGTTTGGCTTCCTCTTTAATATAAAGAAATACGTCAAAAATTAAAATACAAATAACCATTAAGTAACCATTTTATAAACCCATTTCATACCAAAACAAATTTTAACCTACCCTACTAAAATCAAATCACCTTTGATATATTATATATTAGTTTGTCTACATTGATAAGCATATTCAATGCTATTCAAGTTACGAATACGTGTTATACGAACCCTGAAGGCCCTCCTCAGCGGCTAATCTACGCTGTATTTCCTCAACGTTAGTAAAGTCAGCACGTTGTGTCTCTATCTCTTTCTCTATTTGCTCAAGTATGGCTGGGATCTCTTTTCGCTTTCCATTTTTCACGTCCAATTCGCTTTTACACTGAAATAAAAAGGGACAACGATTTACACTTTAACACTATGTTTTTCATAGTAAATGGTTACCTGAAACTAGTTGATATCTGTACGCGAGGGCTTATAATGTAACATGTAAAGCAAACTTACATCGTTTAGCGTCTTCTCAGCGTTGTCAGCCCACGTCACGAAGGTTTTATACCCCAGTTGGAAGTCAGAGGGGGTGTCATTGAGACGGGCTTTTTTAGAACCGCTGTAGCTCGCTTCTGTTACCACAGTGGTGCTGGTGGTGGTGGTGGTGGTGGTTGTTTTTACGAGCGTGGTTGCCTCGGGTGTGGTGTCCATTTCGGTCGGGACGTCATCGTCGCCATCGAGATCTATGTCGAAACCTAAATCTTTTATCTGCAACGTTATCGATAAATAATCAGTTAGATACTAAGCAATTAGGCACTGATCTGTATCTTTGAAAAACAAGGTCATTAAAGTAAATTCTCTAATATATGACTTGAATAGAACCATTTCATTGGTCATTTAAGGAAATATTAGTGATATAACTATAACTCCAAAATGTGGAATATTACAACACAGAACCATCTTTGTTTTGTCTTTAGGAACATCCAAAAATAAAGGCTAGTAAAGCAGTTTCATCTTTTGCCTCCTCTGCGAACCGTTTCAGGTTATTTTAATTTTAATAAGTATTGTATTACACTTACAAAACATTATATTGAAATATTTTTATTATAAATAATTTTCCAGACGACAGCGGGCATATTCTAGAATCAACGCAAGACAATTACACGGAACCTTGTTGCTATGTTAATGAGGTCGGAAATAGATTGTCGCCCAAAGTTGTTTACGTTTAAAGTGACAAACTTCTTTTGACAACCACAACTTCGTGTGAACTTTCTAGATACTATTCGGTCTAGTGAGGGAGTATAAATACGGGCACTGTTGGTAACCTTAATTTGCAGTGCGATAAAGCCCGAAGTGACTTTGGCTATCATTTTGGTCTACGTTTAGATATTGATTAAACTTGTTAAGTTTGATATTAGTGTGTGGTAGTGAAAAAAGTTTAGGTTTCTATAATTTCAGTATATCTAGGAAACGTTTGAAAGTGCAGAATTCGTATAGACTAGCTCACCCGCTGCGCCTGCACGTCCAGTATCATGAGCAGGGCGTCCAGGCGGTCGCTCAGCGCCTCCGCGCGGTCCATCATCTGCGGCGCCGGCGCCTGGCACTGCTCCGCCAGCTCCGCCAGGTCGTCCGACAGCTTGGCCACGTCCGCCTGCCGCGCCAGCAGCTCGCGCCGGAGCCCTTTCAGGACTCCGCAGCGCTGAAGGGCCTGCGCGCATACAACGATCGTCAACGTGTCACGAGGCTACCATTTATGAGAGCAGCATCACCGATCGGGACGCTAGGATAGGACGAGTGGGTGCGTACCTGCTCCACACTGTCGGCGGGCGCGGCCTCCATGTGCTTGAGCTGCGCCTCGGCGCGCTGTGCGGCGGCGCGCAGCTCGTCGTGCGCCGCGTCCAGCGCCGCGCCGCGCGCCACGAGCGCGCTGAGCCGCGCCAGCTGCGCGCTCGTCCACTGGCACGTGTGCGACCAGCGCTCGCTCAGCGCCGTCAGCTGGTCCTCGATCTCCGTCACGTCTGAACACACGTTATACGCGACCGAGTTAAGCGACGCCTTAAGGGAGTGTTGCGATAAAACTATATGTATAATGATGGAGGGCTCCGACCGCTTATTGCACTCTGTGGAGGAACAGGCTATATGTCCCTCCGACGCGAAGGTAGGATTCGACCAGAAAAAAGTGATCATCCCTGGCCGGTCTCGATCCAAGGGTTTATTTATTTATTTATTTTTGTTTATTTATTACAAACTATGAAGAATTTACAGCCAAGACGATCAGAATAAAAGCAATCAAGATAACAAATAGCCCATTACAAATCCTCACTTATATAAATCAGAGATAAGTTACAGTGCCAGTGTTTTATATCGCGAATGTGTATATGTTAAGCAACGTGAAAACTTTACATATCGCGATACAGAATTAACAGTAGTTCGGTGTGTTTTCGCTAGATGGCGCTGTGGTATGTTTATGTTTTATTATACGTGAAAGCGCCTTTTCGTCCCGATTTCTTAGTGTTAAAAATTATAAATTGATCTATAACTATGTGTATGAGACTAAATTATACTTTGTGATTCTTGTGTATTTACAGCACTACGAGAGGTCGTAGTGCTGTAAACACGCTTTCACAGTTCACCGACCGGCATCCTGTGCGGCGTCGTCGTCCACGACGATGACGCAGTCGGCGAGCGCGTCGACGAGCGGCTGCTGGCGCCGCAGCTCGTCGTGCAGCGCCGTGACGGCGCGCAGCTGCGCCGCCAGCGCGCCCGCCCCGCCGCGCGGCGCGCCCATGCGCGACATGCGGTCCTCCGTGCGCGTCAGCCACGCGCGGAACCGCTCCACGTGCTGGGGACACACGGGAGCTGTACGATTCGCGACTGGTTTCTTATAATATACAACAGAACCTAAAGATCATCGGGAGGAGCGTACCTCTTGTTGCGCGCGCATGAGCGCGTGGTGCACTTGCGCCTGCGTGCTCATGGCGTGCGTGCGCAGGTGCTCCCAGCGCGTGTTGAGCAGGCGCAGCTGCAGACGCACCTCGGCGGCCTCGTCGCGCGTGAGCCCCGCCTCCAGCACGAGGCGCGCGCCCTCCTCCAGCACGGCGCCCACGCGGCACTGCTGCTCCGACAGCTCCAGCAGGAACTTCTCGTGCGAGTGGAAGTGCTCCTTGAGTCGCGCGAGATCGTCGGTCTCAGGCGCGGGCGTGTCGGCCAGGCGCTCCTCGGCCTCCAGCAGCCAGGCGAGTACCTCCTCGAACGCCGCGTAGTACCCGCCCAGCTCCACGGAGCCGGTGGTGGCCGTAGACACGGGCCGGCTCGACGATACTTGCTGCTGTAATTTTTAATGATACGTTAACGTATAACATCATGAAAAAAATCGCTCTCGAAAGTCTGTGAACGCCCAAGAAATAAAAACATTAAATTAAAAAAATATGCGCCTACAAGTTATTCTATTCCATCCTATAGGTAGATTAAAAACCATGTCTGTCGCCTAGTTTATTCTAGCATACTAGCACTTTCTGCAAATAAAAAAAATCTAATCTTAACATAAAGACGACTTAGAATCACCCAAAAATTTTAATTAAATTTGAAATACCCAAAACTATGTACGTTGTTGACGCTTCGCAAAGTTTTGAATGAAAATATATGAAATTTTTACTATGCCGAACGTAACTTGACGTTTTAGGTCCAAGGATGAACACTACTTCTAGTAAACACCTTATGTGACGTCAATTACCTCTGGTGGGTTGCTGGTGACGGGTGTGGTGGGTTCCGAGGCCACGCTCTCGAGGTCAGCAACGTCTTCGCTCGAGTGAGGTAGTGATTGGAATAGACACATGACATACATCATAATTGATTTTTTGTCTGGGTTAGGTGTGTTAACATCTGGAAAAAACATATACTTAATGTTACAAGTTGCTACTCATCTAGGCAACAAAGGAATATCAATAAAGAGAGATTATAGATTTATTCAAATAATGTAGTTATCGAAAATCGATACGAATACGCTAACTTGTAGTAGCAGTGTGTTACACTATAATTGTACAAAATATATCTGACCTTCCGGGTCCAGCAGCTTATCTATTCCTAAATGCGTGTGAGCTATATTGAAAGCATGTTCAAGCCTCGCAGCAGGACTTTTGCCAACTATGGTCGTGTAGTCGAATAGTTGAGGTCGCCAGCGATGCAATAGCGCATTGAAGGCCAGTCCATCTGCCCACGACGACGTGAAGTTACGGACAGATACCCCGGAGTAGTTTGCCGTGTGGGTTCGACACCAAGCTAGGAGAGTCTTCTCCAGATTTGTTTGTTGCAGCTCTGACATCAGCTCCTTGAGATGGTAGTGTACCTGCCAATGCAGGATTATACTCCATACCAGACCTAGAAATGAGAAGAAAACACGTTATTAACTGTGCAGTGATTAATTTTGCGATGTGACATACATATTTCGTTTATGTATGAGTACGATCGTAAGTTTTAGTATAGATATAGCTGTAAGTGTTTGTAGTTATAATATTAGATGTGTTGGTTTTAGGCAATAATCATGCTCTCCAGAATACATACGATGGATTTTCCATCGTTAAGTATAAGATTGAATTTATGTTTTTTTTTAGTTTGAGTATTGAGATACGCCGAGATCTAATACGAATTATATACACTGTCAAGGTATCCGGTGTTTTATTTATCCGAGTTTCCTAGTTTAGTTGGCGTTTCCTAGTTCTATGCGTTGTACGCAAATGACTGATTCATCCATTGCTGACATCGCGACTGAGGATTGACATATATGTTTGTTCTCCAAACCATAGATGTATACTGACCCAAGGTGAGCTTGGGATTGCCATCGACAATATCGTTGCTGCTGATGTTGACGAGCTTGACGCCATTCGCGTCGAGCACCTGCAGCGCCGTGTTCACGTTGTTGATGTGATGTACGCGCATGCGTCCGCGCTCCCGCTTCTAAAACAAAACATATATCAGTAGTAGTGTAGGTGTATTCAATCTTGTAATATCCTCCATAATTCATTTTTTTTTCACTATATAAGATTCTGTTGGTGATCCTTGAACCCCGTTTATAAAGTAATTCGCAAAGTAGATTATATTCAGCAAAAAAGGCATTAAAAAGCGGAGACACAAGAAGTTGGTTTTTTGGTTATGAGCCTATTCTCAGTGGTGCAGGAGTAAAATAGACGTGTACTCACGTATTGTTGCGCAGTGAGGATCTCGAGCAGCGACAGTAAGATCTCGCCATCCCTTAGGTCCAAGAACAGATCCTCTACGAGTGGCTTGTCGTTCTGGAATACATATTAACAAATATTTATTTTCGATCTATTACTTATCTTAAACCTACAGGTATTTAGTAGTGGTCGACCTGTAATTATGGTGATGCTTAATAGTTATGTGTAGGCAACCAATATGGGTCTTTTTTATTTTATTGTAGATCTACCTCAAATGTTATGAATACTTATTTTTTTATAATGGTCTATTACTGTTTTTACATGTAGAAGTGGTAGAATTTCATCTCATACTATTTTACATTTTAAGTTAGCCACTCTGTCGCATTAGGTTTGACTGTAATGATAGTAGTAAGGGTGATAAAATAAATAAATAAATATGTATTTGTTTTTGGAAGCATAATTAATAGCAGTTTTATAACAAATAAATAGGGTACTGTGTGTTGCACATTTATCGGGACTGGAGGTGATGGCTATTATCTATCTATGTAGAATAAATGATTATAAACATTCGCATTCATAGGGGAGGGCCTATGAACATAGCTTTGCACATATGTAGTAACTGACAGTAGACGACGTATTCTGTACAATATTTGAAGTTATAGTTGCGGATAAAATGTCTAGCACGCTCGAGTGTCTTTAACCCTTGAAGTTGAACAGATGTGTGTCAAACGCTAGTGTCAAAGTGTGACTAAAGACGTTTGTTTGTTGAAGCGTGCGGCGGCGGAGGCTGAGGCGCGGCCGGCTCATTGAGCGCACAGCTATAAACAGCGGCCCGAGTGAGTGCGCCCGAGAATTGACCTTAATTACTTCATACGCTAAATTTGAAAGTACCACGCACTATGCTCTTTGGAAATGACCATTGTGACAATCATCTATTTCTAAATTTGTACGTTTTGTGATGTTCAGCTACACTTACAGTGTAGCTAATATCTCTTACGGCAATGTAATCATTGACCACCAACGGAATTCAAGAATCATTGCTTTTTACCATTAATTGGTAAGGTTTAAGTGATTGTATTCGTATATTTTTTACGTTTTCAGGACACACAACATGAGATATCGGAGCCAAAGTGATCGCTGAAGTGATTAAGACATGCCTTTCGACCTACGTTTTAGTAGAAGTGTTTTTCAGATATGTGTTATCGAGACATACAGCAACGAATAGTTATCTTTTCATAAATATGCAGATTGAGATGCAATGCTTAGGCACAAATGTTATTTCGCAGATAAAATGATTTATGACGAGTTAAATGTATTGAAATGTGTGGGATCAATTTGTGTTAGTAACACAATTGACACAAATACAATTTAGTGTCGATGGTAAACATGGCTCTACCTATTGCCAATTGCGTGCAATTAACGCGATCGTTCACAAGCAGGTGAACCTGTGAGACCACCACCAGTGCACCTTGGTCGATAGGTCAGAAAACTCAAAAATATGCAAAATCTATTACTTAAGTAAACAATAACATATTATTATAACGTAAAAGAATAGGAAAACATCTCTGAAATGCCCTCGCTTAATAAACACACGACTTCTTGGAAAAGTGTGATTGCTTCTTATTAAGCGGAAATATGCTTGTTAGCCACCTTAGGTAAAGGTTCGGTCAATCTGAAGCCAACACATCTACATCGTTTTCTTTCCGATATGACAAGATATACGTAAACTTGCTTCAGCAAGTGTCGCCCGACCTCAACTCGACCAGTTCGGGAAGCGTCACCTTTGCAATAATAAATACCTTGACAAGTTGGGAGTTGATCCATTTGGCGAATGTTTTCTTCTGGACATCTTCGCGTTCATCTGCAACAACAGACACACAATGTAAATAACCGAAATTCCTTTTCATAGTTATATGTATTTCTTAAAAATAAATCTTGTAAAAATAACAGGAATAAAAGCGTCAAATTGCTATTAGTTGTCTTAACGCATTTTTTTTGTATTCATCCGTAGTCTCGTTGCGAATTATTCATGTTCATAATCATGGTAGGTTTACATATAGACAGTGGGGGGTAAAAAACGGACATTCTATCCTACTCAACAAATATACAATTTGCTTAAACATGTTTGACGACTTTTTTTTATATTTTAGAGGGGGATAGACGAGCAGACGTGTGGTTCTCGGCGGAGTAGAATAAGGCCAACCCATCTCTTCCCGTGGGTGTCGTAAAAGGCGACTGAGGGAATCTTTGGACTGTTTATCATCAGACAGTATATATACAGTTCGTGCGGTACTTGTCCTGGTGGCCTCTCCAACCGCTGGATATTGGTACATACCGCAGTCTAAGTCCTGTCTCCCATCCTAGTACTGCGGTATTCCCCCACCCTAATTTTCCTCTCTCATCCAATCCTCCTCAAAGGAAACATCAGGGGTGAGGGGATTGCCCCTCACCCCTGATGTTTCCTTTTTTCCCTTCCCTATCGTATAAACGACTACATTCCCAAGGAGGGTTGGCGACAGGCAGGCGGCCGGCCATAAAAATTAATTAGCCAAAACCACTATAATGCAGTATAAGTATGATGGAAATTGAGTGCGACAGTGCTAGGGCGTACCCCGTAGGCGACGCGCGGCAGCAGCACCCGGCTACGCGAATAAGTGGACAAGGGTTGTTGCACCACCCGAGGCGGGTGCAACGTAAGAAGCAAGCCCGAGAGGTGAGGATGAGGTATGCAAGTTGGAATGTAGGGACTATGACTGGAAGAGCGAGAGAGCTAGCAGATGTGTTGAAAAGAAGAAGAATAAACGTGGCATGCTTGCAGGAAACAAAATGGAAGGGTACGAAAGCAAGAGAGATAGGAGAGGGGTACAAGTTTTATTACTGCGGAAGTGATGGGAAGAGAAATGGAGTGGGCGTAGTATTGGATAGTGCCCTGAAAGAGTGTGTGACGGATGTAAAGAGAGTGAACGATAGAATAATAGTATTAAAATTAGTATGGGAGAGCGTAATTATGAATATTGTTAGCGTGTATGCACCTCAAGCTGGATGCAAGGATGAAGTGAAAGAAAAATTTTGGGCCGATTTTGACATGGTTTTGATAGGTATCCCTGAAAGTGAAGAACTTTTGATAGGTGGAGATTTTAATGGTCATGTGGGAACAACGAATGAGGATTATGAAAGAGTACATGGAGGAAGGGGGTTCGGAAGTAGAAACATTGATGGTGAGTCTCTGCTCCAGTTTTCCTCTTCGTTTGACCTGGCAATAGTTAACACATGGTTCCAAAAACGTCACGAACATCTGATCACGTATAAAAGTGGTAGCCACGCGACACAGATCGACTACTTTCTCATAAAAAGAAGTAAGTTGGTTTGTGTCCGAGACTGCAAAGTGGTGCCCGGGGAACCCGTAGTATCGCAACATAGATTGCTGGTAATGGTGGTCAAATGGAAGAGTTTGAGTAAGAGTAGGAAGAACCGACCTTCTCCAAGAATCAGGTGGCGAATGTTAGAGAAAGAAGAGTATGCAAGTAACTTTAAGGTAAAGGTGGTAGAAAAAATGATTGAAATGAATGCAAGGCTAGATAAGTCTGTGGATGGATGGTGGAGTGAAATGGCAAATTATATACGAAAGATAGCGAGAGAAGTACTTGGGGAAACAAAAGGAAAAGGCATTATTGAAAGAGAGACATGGTGGTGGAGTGATGAGGTACAGAAAGCTCTAAAAGAAAAGAAGGATGCCTTTAAAGCGTGGAAAAATGAAAAGGTCTGTGAGAGAATGAAGGAAGTCAAAATGAATGAATATAAAGAGTGGAAGAAAAAGGCAAAAAAAGCGGTAGCGGTAGCTAGAGCTAAAGCTCAATATAACATATTTAAACACCTACATGAACCTAGCGGTCAAAAAGAACTCTACCGCATTACAAAGAACAGGGAAGAAAGAGCAAAAGACCTGAAGCATGTGAGATGTATAAAAGATGAAGAGGGGAGAGTGTTGGTTAAAGATGAAGATATAAAAAAGCGATGGAAATCTTACTTTGAAAAACTTATGAATGAAGAGAATAAATGGAGCGGAGTGCTAAAGCATGTGGATGTGAATGTCGGACTGGTGAACGAGATTAGTATAGATGAAGTTAGATTGGCAGTACGAAGTATGAAAAATGGAAAAGCAGTTGGCCCCGACGGTATACCAGTGGAAGTTTGGAAGCTACTGAAAGAAGACGGATATAAGTGGCTGACTCTATTCTTCAATATGTTGTTGCTTGAAGAGGTAATCCCAAAGGAATGGTGTCAAACCCAACTCGTACCCATTTTCAAAAACAAAGGAGATGTTCAGGAATGCAACAACTGTCGAGGAATAAAGCTCATGTCACATACTATGAAAGTCTGGGAGAAAGTGATTGAGAGAAGAATAAGAGATGAGAGTCAGATAACCCAAAGTCAATTTGGGTTTATGCCAGGACGCGGGACAACAGATGCTATATTTGCAATGCGCCAACTATGTAAGAAATACAGGAGTGCGCACAAAAACTTGCATATAGTGTTTGTGGATCTCGAAAAGGCATATGATAGGGTACCCCGAGAGGTTTTGTGGTGGGCTTTGAAAGAAGAAAGAGTGCCTGTTAAGTATGTAGAATTGATTCGTGCTATGTACAGAGAGTCTAGCACTCATGTAAGGTCGGTCACGGGAAACACTGATCAATTCAGTGTCTCTGTAGGCTTGCACCAGGGATCAGCTCTGAGCCCATACCTCTTCCTGTTGATAATGGATGCTCTGACATCGGACATACAGGAGGAGGCACCTTGGTGCATGCTATTTGCAGATGACATTGTGTTGGTCGGTGAGGATGGGGTTGAGGTCCAGAGCAGACTGGAAAAATGGCAACAAAGGCTGGAGAATGTTGGCTTGAAAATCAGCAGAACCAAAACTGAGTACATGTTCTGCGATTTCGGCGGTCTCTCCAGTCCTGAAACCATTTCGCTGGATGGGATAGCGATAACAGTCTGCTCCAATTTCAAGTACCTCGGCTCCCTCTTACAATGTGATGGTGAGATTGATCGAACTGTACAGCATCGAATCAATACGGGATGGATGAAGTGGCGGCAGGTAACGGGAACAACTTGTGACCCCAGTCTCCCCTTAAAACTGAAGGGACAAACTTATAAAACTATTATCAGACCTGCCGTACTGTATGGTTCTGAAAGTTGGCCCATTAAGAAAACGGATGAGAGACGCCTGAACGTAGCCGAAATGCGAATGCTGAGATGGATGTGTGGTGTGACTCAGATGGACAAGGTTAGGAATGAGTATATACGAGGGAGTCTGAAAGTAGCGCCACTGGATGAAAAGTTAAGAAGTAATAGGTTATCTTGGTATGGACATGTCATGCGGAGGGATGAGGAAAATGTGGCGAAGAAAGTTTTAGGTATGAGAGTTGAAGGGTATAAGAGAAGAGGCAGACCGAAGAAAAGGTGGATGGACTGCGTGAGGGAGGATATGGCTAGCAAGGGAGTAAACAGTGAGATGACGCATGACAGAGTAGAATGGAAAAATCATACATACTGCGCCGACCCCAAATAAAATTGGGAAAAGGGTAGGCAGATGATGATGGATAGACGAGCAGACGGGTCGCCTGATTGGAAAGTGACCATCGCCGACCACATGTAGTAATGGTTTAGGCATGGAATTCATGAATTTTGAAAAAAAACAAAAATGTTGTTTATTTATCAAATACGTACGATGTTTTCTATTAAATGGTAAACCATTTTAAGTAAATATTTCGCTTGTATAAGGTGAAACACCAGGGCAATAGATTTCGTGTTAAAAACTATGCATTCAGAAAATATATTATCATGAAAATTAAAGAATCGCATCCAGTTTAAAACTGTTTACAACATCATTTAGTAACTTTTTAAAGTGCTTTAAACATTCATATATTAGGATCAAAGAAACTTAGATTTAAACACTTCAACTTTACTTCACACTTAATTTTGAGAAAAAACTAAATCTAAAGTAGTATAAATACAAGACACAAACAACAAAAAATACTTGAAAAACATGTGCCTATAGGTGATATAGATTGATACAGGCAAAAAGAACGATAACATCATACTGTACTTTATTGGGGATAGATATTAAGCTCCAGCTGAGTCTAGACCACAACACCACAAAGAAAATATAAAGAGACAAGCGATTCAACGTGTTAGTTCAAACACGGTAGTCACTTTCCATCAGGTGATCCGTCTGCTTGTTTGTCTTCTGTAAATTCTTAATTATATCCAAAAAAATAGGCACTATGTTATGCAGTTATTTATTTTTAATAAAATAAACAGACGTCTTGCTGAAAGGCTCCATGGCACATGGCACTTACAATTTAAGTTAATATACTGCATGTAAAAACACATCTACATTTAACTATATCACGAATTTAAATAATGTCAAAATTAGCACAAGGCTCATCTCTAACAAGGACTAAATATATTATAAATCTTACGAAAACATCAAACTGCAATTCAAAATGAAAACGGGAAATTTTAGCAATTCTGGATCAAACCGAAAAATCACATGATCATACTGTCATTATCATCAGCTCGCGTTGGAAGTTTCACCAACACCTCCAAGGTCTTCAACAACGTGAACATAGCTTCGCACACTTGATACAGGACCTTTATCACAACCGCAGACCACGAATTGGCAAGGCGAAATATAATATTCATAAAAACTGCAGAGAATATCGCTACGTGTGTTGTATTCCCTCTTCCTGGACTGAATCTAATGCCATCGATGGATGAGACGTCCCGTTTTACGCTTGAGCGAGTTTATAGTCGCTTTGTTTTCCGTTGCATAATGTTATGTATGGTGCGACCTTC